TCCCTGCCAGAAGCACCACTGCCCATCACCCCCAGACTCCCTCCATGTCTTTTCCAAGCCACAAGCACTGTTTCCAGCCACCCCCAGACCCCTTCCCTGTTTTTTCCCTGCCAGAAGCACCATTCCCAGTCCCTCCCCAGTTTCCCTGCCTGCTGCTGAGCTGCAGGTTGAGTCACTGCGCTGAGTGACACAGGACAGGCAGATCCCAAGTGCTCCGGGAGTGAGGTGCCCTTGCCAGGAGCAGGGTYCTCCCTGTCCCCAGGCTGCCTCAGGGGCTGCAGCTCACACAGCCACAGAGATGGAGACAGCCCATAACCCTGGGAAATCGTTCCAGTGACAAACCCTGCCCCTGGACAAGCAGGATGGAGCTCATCCATCTCATTTCGGACCCAGGAGGTCTCCTGGAGGTTTCTCCTCACCCTGGACTGGAGCTCCCAGGGTTGGAGGACTCATCTTTTTTCAAGGAGTAAGGACACTTGTTTCCCTTCTGGCAGAAGGAGGAGGGGCCCAGACACCCCCAGCACTCACCACCGAAGCCGATGGCCATGAAAGGCACAGCTGGGGACAGGCTGAGGGAYGTGGCAAAGGCTGGCAGGGAGATCTTCCTGAGCACCTGCAGCCCAGCAAGAGAAACACAACAGCTCAAAGCAGGAGGGCAACGCCCAGAGCCATGCAGCCACAGCCCCAAGGAGGACAATGGGGAAGCTGAGGTGCCCAGCTAGGAAAGCTGCCCCAGGCATCCAGGAGACAATGGGGAGAGAGATAATGCTCCTGGAAACAGCTGCCTTCCCCTCCAACGGGATCAGGGAGTGACTGCCTGCACAGACACAGCCTAAGGCAGGGGCAGGGCTCTGCTGCTCACCTGGGCCACACTCGGGAGKCTGCAGGAAGAAAATCTATTCCCTGAGCAGTGGCCTGAGCCCAGCCCACCCCTGTGACCGAGGGTCACACACAGGGCAGCTCTGCCAGCCCCCACTGTGCCCACTGACCCCGGCAGGTACCTGTTTCCTTCTCAGGCTGTAGAACAAAGCTTCCYTCTGCATACCAAAGCCCACGTAGACCAGGACACCGTGTTCCCAAGGGCAGAATGCAGCCAGGCTGGGTGGGAGACTGTCGAGACCCTGGTGAGGGAAACCAAAGGCAATAAAACTGAGGCTGGATTCTCTTATATCAATCAATGGGAGATAAAAGGTGGACAGAGGGATACCAGGGCTGGGAGTGTTTGTGCAGTTTGTGCATCTCAGATGTGCTCATGGAAAGGAAGGAACAACCACACCCTGCCTTAGAAATCTGAAGCAAATTGTTTAGTATTGTAGGAGCAGGTCATATTAGGGTCCAACAGACTGAATTCTCACTGAAATATTATTGCAGCAGGTGGGATTGGATTAGGGATCAGCCCAAGAAAACAGGGCCCAGAAGGCAGATCTTGGGTCGTGGRTGTACGATCAAACCTTCTCACTGTGGAGAGAGCTGTAGTGAGTTTTCTTCCAGAAGAAATCCATCTTTTTGGAAATAAAAAGAAATACTGGCAGAACCCAACTGCAGCATGGGCCCAGGCCGAGGCTCTGCCTCTTGCCCCCCAAAAACACCCAGCTGCCTTCTGCCTGCCAGTGTCACCTGTACCAGGGACCATCTCCATCCTCTCCAGCACAGATCCTCCTGCTCCTCTAGCAGGTGTCCTGCTGCCCAAACCTCACTGCTGGGTTGGAGCCAGARGCTTCTGCCAAGCAGCAGGGACACGCAGGGCTGAGTACTTGGCTCTGGGAAGCCATCACTGCGCTCCTGGCTCAGAGCATTCCCGCTCCTCAGAGTGTCAGGATTAGCAGCACGCTCATAATTAGCTCTCCCTCCTGCACACGGYGCTCACGGCTGCCTGGGCTCTGCTGTGCTGGCACAGGGCTGTCAGCTCTTTGCAGGTGCGGTTTAGGGCTCCTCACACTTAGAAGTCAGTGCTCTGGGGCAGTCTGGCACTGAACCAGCTCCTTTCCACACCCAACAAGTTGCACTGACAAGATACTCTTTGAGCAGAGCTAACAGAGATGCCTTTCCTCAGCAAGCACACCCTCCCTGAGAGCCCTGTTTATCTCCTCCATCTCTGCTCATACCAGGAGCAGGCAGGGCCTGGCAGGTGCCACGCTCACCTCGGGGCCAGCAGGAGCTGGGAAGCTGAGCCAGTCGAGGAGCTCACACTTGTCCTGCAGCCAGTCGGCGGCCCAGACGCTGACCCGGCGGTCGGAGCTGCTGGCCAGCCAGAGCTCCCCTCCTTCCACCCCGAAATCGTGGTACTGTGGAGCAGGAACACAACCCYGTCACTCTGGGGCACAGAGGCTTTGAAGGAAGGGACAGAAAAGGYTGGGACAGGAGCTCCTGGGGACATGGGGCTTGTGTTTAGGGATTCAATGCCAGGATTAACCTCGGTTTGTGACTGCCCCATCCTTGACAGTGTCCAAAGCCAGGCTGGATGGGGCTTGGAGCAGCCTGGGATAGTGGGATGTGTCCCTGCCCGTGGTAGGGGGAGGAAAATAGATGATTTTTAGGTGCCTTCCAACCCAAACCCTGGTCTGAATGACCCAGTTCTCTTCCCTGGGACACCCTGTGGATCTACATATCTCATAGGGGAGTTGTTTCCAATACCACGTGTCCTTTAACAATGTCCTTCACCTAACCAAGGAGGATGTCAGTCTCAAATTATCAGGGAACACAGCCTTGCAGWGTGGATGATCTTAAAGCCTGAGAGCTTAGGGAAAATGATCCCCATCTCTGCTGTGCAAAGGAAAAAACTCTCCATGAGGAGAATAAAGGAGATGCTCAAACCATCCCACTGCTACACAGCCAAATCTTCCCAGATCCACACAGGAATGGTACAGGCTGCTGAGGAGCTTTTTGCGGGGCAGAGGCAGTAAGCTCACAGCCTCAGCTGCTCCTGAGGGGAGTTCTCTCCAGGAGCCTTTGGCACAGGCYCACTTCACACCATGTGTGCAGGGTGGCAACAATTGCCACTGAAGGACTCCCTTCAGGCACAGCCTTGTTCAAACTGCACCTGGAACACATGGAGCTTTATTCCACTGAAYATACCCCTGGAAAAACTGGTCAGAAGTTGCTGGAGGGGACGGAGGAAGATTTCCAAAGAGGAAAAGCAAACTTGCTGACCATGCTGCYTTCCAGAGCTGTGCAGTGGCATATGGGGACTGGGCTCTCTCCTGAGGTCTCACCTGCTTCCTGGTGCACTGGAGAACGGTRATGGGGGAGCCTTTGTGGTCAGCCAGGACATGGTTGGTCATTCCAGTGCGAGGGCTGCTGACAGCCACTATGCCATCCTTGCTCCCTGATAAGATCATTTCCCCTGGTGGCAGAGGAGAAAAAGGACACTTCTTACAGGAGGAGGAAAAGGCCAGAGGAGAAAGGCCCAAGATKATGGGATACCAGTGTTCTGAAACACTGTGAAAGGCTGGGAACATCCTGGTCAAGGGCTGGGTATGATGAGATGTGTCACACACAGCCATCGAACCTCCTCACTGAAGAGGAGCCACAGTAGATCATAAACCAGAGGTGTTTGTTGCACCCAAACCCCTTGGCTATCCCAAAGCCAGGGCACCTCCTGTGTCCCACCCACCACRTGCTCAGCTGGCTGAGCCACCAGAACTCACTGACTCGAGTTCTGTGGCTCTTCTGGGGTTTTGGGCAGGGGGCCAGGACACAGAGCAGCTGGAGATCAGGATAACGCAGGCAGCACCAAACCACCTTCCCTGCTGCCACCCCAGGCAGCCTCACCATCAGTGGAGTAGGCGATTGCTGTCAGAGCAGCAGCGTGGGGGTGCATTTTGAGCTCCATCTCTGTCCTGGAAACGCTGAACACACGCACGGTGCCATCGCTGTACCCTGCCACCACGTGCTGGCTCTCGGCGGGACAAGGGGTTACCCCGATGGGACGAGGCTTCCAGGCCAGGCACTGGCAGCTCTGCAAGGAGCCAGGGCAGAGAGCCGGTGACACAGGGGACCATGTGCCATCAGGAAGGGATTGATGTGGCACAAACACTTACCTGGTTGAGCACTTGGAACTGCACCACCAGCTCCGTGCTGCCCAGAGCCCAGATCCTCACACTGCCATCCTCCCCRCACGTGGCACAGTGAGTCTCACCGGGACTAAAGCACACCTCAGTCACCTGCTCCAAGGGAAAGGGGAGAACAGGGGCTCTACAGGTGCCACAGCCCACTCAGCCCCTCTGCTGCCCTCATCCCCCAGGACTCTCATGGGAGACACCAGATGAGATGGAATATAAAGGAAGGTGCAGTGCTTTGGTTTTGGGCTTACAGGATGAGRGGAAATGGCCTCAAGTTGCACCAGGGAGGGTTTAGATTGGSTATTAGGAAGAATTTCTTCACAGRAAGGGTTGTAAAGCACTGGCACAGGGCAGTGGTGGAGTCACCATCCCCAGGAGCGTTCAAAAAATGTGTGGATGTGGCACTTGAGGACATGGTTTAACGGTGAACGTGATGGTGATGCTGGGTTGGCTGTTGGACTTGAAGATCTTAAAGGGGTTTTCCAGCCTTACCCATCATGGAAAACAGTAAAAAAAGTAGGACCAGGCACCGTGCACAGTAAACCCAACCCCAAGGGCAGAACCAGGCACGGTGTGCAGTAGTAAACCCAACCCCAAAGGCAGGAGCAGGCTCTGTGCACAGTAAACCCAACCCCAAAGACAGGAGCAGGCTCTGTGCACAGTAAACCCAACCCCAAAGACAGGAGCAGGCACTGTGCACAGTAAACCCAACCCCAAAGACAGGAGCAGGCACTGTGTACCATAGGTAGATGTAAAATGCCTTTTCTCCCGTCATTTAAACCCTTTTCCCTGTAGCAGAAAGATACCCTGAAGCAACAGCACAAATCAAAGTGGGCCCAGCCCCTCCGACCTTGTTCTTGTGGCCGCTGATGAGGCGGATGCTGGTGCTCTCCACCCAGTTGATGTACCACAGGGTCCCRGCTGTGGTGCCCACAATTCCCATTTCCAGGGAGTCGTCAAAGGCTGCGCTCACAATTGTCCCATCCAGGGTGATCTCATGTTCCAGCAGGACTGAGCCAGACCTGGAGGAGGGCAGGGTGGGACAAGGACTGGCTCAGATGTTGCTTCARACCCAACTTTCTGGTGAACCCAGTTCAATGAGGGGCTCTTGTGCATGGAACAGTAACTRGGAGAGCTGGGGTTCTTCATCTGGGGAGACTTCAGAGCCCCTTCCAGTGCCTAAAGGGGCTTCAGGAGAACTGGAGAGGGACTGGGGACAAGGAATGGAGGGACAGGACACAGGGAATGGCTTCCCAGTGCCAGAGGGCAGGGATGGATGGGATATTGGGAAGGAATTGTTCCCTGGGAGGGTGGGGAGGCCCTGGCACAGGGTGCCCAGAGAAGCTGTGGCTGCCCCTGGATCCCTGGCAGTGCCCAAGGCCAGGCTGGACAGGGCTTGGAGCAGCCTGGGACAGTGGAAGGTGTCCCTGCCCATGGCACAGAGGGTTAGAATGGGATGGTCATGGGAAGGTTCCTTCCCACCCAAAGCATTCCATGATTCTGTGATTTGCACCTCAACCATTTTTTTTGCAGGAAAGAAAGAAAACAGGGGATGCAACAGCATAAGAGAGGAAACAAAGGCAATGTCTTTTCCATAGCTGTCCTGAAGGAATTCCTACAAACCACTGGCACAAACTTCAGGCACGATAAACACCCACTTCTGCTATTAGGAGGGTTCAGCTACCTGTGGCAAAATCAAAAGATCCAGACAGAAAGAGTCAGYAGCCACGGCATGGAGAGGAAAAGCTAAGGATGAAGAGCAGCAGGAGCAGCATGCTTGCATGTGGTGTCTGTGAAAAGCCACCCTTCAGCCAGGTCCTGGGGGCTGCCAGGTGAGGGGGCCATGAGCTCCTACCTGGCATCGGGCCCTCTGAGCCTCAGCTCCTGCACGGTGGCCACGGACCACAGGCGGATGCGCTTGGTGTTGCTGCCGCTCACCAGCCGGCTGTGCCGGCACACCAGCACACCTGGGGATGGAGGCACCTCTCAGTGTCCACTGCCCCCTGACATCACCCCAAGGGTGCTCCTGGCAGCCATTTGGGCAGGAAAACAGCGGGGTTCTACAGCCCAACGCTGTTTTTATAGACTAAAGGTCTGCCCAGGGCGCTGGGTGAGTTGCCATCCCTGGAAACGTTCTAAAATCGCGTGGACATGGTTCTCAGRGACATGGTTTAATGATACACCTGGCAGTGCTGGGTTAGCGGTTGGATCTGATATCTTAGAGACCTTTTCCAACCTTAATGGTTCTATGATTCAATGAACCCCCCAGGAAGCCCAGGACCCTGAGGAAAGCCAGGTCACAGATCCACTGCCACCCCACACATCTTGCATCCCACACAGCAAACTGGTTTTCTGAGCGCAGCTGAAATGGGAAATCTTCAAGCTCATGGCTCCTTTCCCAACAAGCTCKCCATGACAGCCCTGACACCGCACCCACCGATCTCGCCCTCGTCAGCCTCCCACGTCATGAARCAGGAGTTGGTCTCTGTGTCCCACACACAGATCTGGCCTGAGTTGGTCCCACTGTAAAGCAGAGTGTCAGCACCATAACAGAGAGATGTCAGCTCCACCAGCCCCAGCACRTCCGGGGCAGGGGCTCGATGAACCTGCCAGAGCACAAAAACCAGGAGTGTCAAAGGGAATTAAGATGTTTAGATGCATCAGGAAAAAGAAATCATCCTATTCCCCTCAGTTCCTGCAGTTAATGCCCCAAATACAACCAAAAGCTGCTCGTGGACAGCCAACATCACCTCACTGAGAGAAGCCATCAGCTCTCACAAAGCCCTCACCAGGGACTTGGAAAGTAAGTCAGAGATGCTGGAAATAAATTTTAAAAGGTAAAAGGCAGGTTTACCTTGAGTCTGACAGCAGCTCCCTGCTGTTCTAACAGCCAGAACATCACAGCTTCCCTTCCCACGCAAGCCARGTCTCGGTGGGAGACGGGGCTAAAAGCCACGTCGTGGAGAGGCTCTGAGACACAGGTGGACAGCATGAGCTCATAGGTATGGGTGCTCCATAGAGCCAGGGTCTGGTCACTGTAGTCCCCTAGGGAGAGTGGGGAAGGCAGGGGAGGAATTGTGCAGCCTCAGGATGCTCACAAGCATCCCACAGCACACACACACCAACCGTGTCACTCCCTGACCCAACTGTCCCAACCACCATTCCAGACAAGGACACATCTCCTCCTGTACTCAGCACAAGCTGTATGACACAACAGATCCTTGTCTGAGTTAAGGACAGGCAGAAGTGACCCAGCACTGCACACTGGAGGTTGCAGACCTTTCCTGGCAGCAGAGCCATTTGCAGCAGCCAGGGCTGGGATTGCAGCAGGCAGAGCAGTTTTGCTTCTGTTTCTCCATCCTGAGAAGCCACTCCACACCTTGGGGAGCGCCCCACACAAGCTTTGCAGTGACACTGGGCACTCAGGGYTACCACAGGCTTGAAAAAGAAAGAGATGTCACCTTTGCAGAGGTCCCAGCTGAGGTGGGAGCTGGGTGGGAGCAGAAGGCCCTGGCCTCAGTGATGGCAGAATTCCCAGGCTTCCAGAGAGCTCAGGAGGACAATGCTCTCCTGCTGCCTTTCCCAGGCTCCACAAGCTCAGYGGAGACTTTGAGCCTTCCCCTCCCCTGCAGCCCAGAGTGAAGTTGGAGGAGGAGATCTCCTCTTCCACACACTGCTCCCTGGAGAGCACAAAGCTCCCCTTCTCTCCAGCAAAGCCTGCTTTTTTCCAAAGGAGCCTCACCAGCCCAGAGCGACTGTATTGCCTGCTCCACAGGTGCCCTCTCATGCAAAACAAGAGCTTCCTAATTGCATGTTGTCCTTTAAATGCCCCCTGCCTGAAGAAAACAGACAGCTTGAGCGTCCATCCTGTGCTGGCATGGCTGCCTGGAAGGAGGCTAACAGTTGGGAGCCTGCCTGCTTCTGTCCAAGCCYATCTAGGCAGCAGTAACAAGGCCAGAAGAAGGTTTTTCCCTTTGGACTCTATAAATAGTAACCACAAACCATTTACAGGGGGTTTAAGAAGGAGTGAGTCACGAGAAGAAAGCRTGACTGCTGTATTCCCTGCTGTCCCAAGGATACCATGGAATAGTGTCCTCCYCATGAGCCTGATGCACATCTGGTGGGTATTTGGTGCTCCCAGCGCCTTCCTGCCATGAGCTGTGTGCTCTGGGGTGCACCCCTGCACCCACAGCAGCTGTCACAGAGTGCTCACCTATGGTGACAAGGAATCTGTCGTCCCAGGAGAATGCCATGGCTTGCACTTGTGTCTCGTGGTGGAAGAGCTCTGCTGTGCAGGCCCCATCCTGGGTGCTCCAGATGCAGATCTGACAGTGGGAGTCCCCATCTTTCCTCCCTGAGGCAGAGGCAAGAACCTAAGAGAGCAATGTGTTAGTAATTAGAGAACACTCATTACCTACTCTCAACAGTTTCAGTCCCTCATTAGAGCGATGTGGTTGGCAAATGCAGAATTCTGTGAGAAACAACCATTCAGCTGATGGCAGGAGGGAATGGCAACATCACCCAGAGGAACAGAGCAGCCTTGRCAGAATCCCAGAATCATCCAGTCCGACCTGTGACCTATACCCACCTTGTCACCAGCCCAGAGCACTGAGTGCCACCTCCAGGCTTTCCTTGGGCACCTCCAGGGATGGGGACTCCAAACTTCCCTGGGCAGTCCATTCCAATGCCTGACCACCCTTTCCAAGAAGAAATTCTTCCTGATGTCCACCCTGAACCTTTCCTGACACAACTTGATTGTCCCTGCTCCGTGGGAGCAGAGCCTGACCCCCCCAGCTGCCCCTCCTGTCAGGGAGCTGTGCAGAGCCACAAGATCCCCCCAGAGCCTCCTTTGCTCCAGGCTGAGCCCCTTTCCCAGCTGCTCCTCACTGACCTGTGCTCCAGCCCCTTCCCCAGCCCCATTCCCTTCTCTGGACATGCTCCAGCCCACACTGAGCCAGCACAACAGATAGCTGCCTCCAAAATAACTTCCATAGCCTCCAGGCAGAAGGAGGAACAGACAAATGGGATTGCAGGCTGTGGCCTTCCAAAGTGACAGGGCCAAGCCCTGGCCTGGGGCAGCAGCAGCCTCTCCTACCTGGGCATCGTGGCTGAGGGCGAGCGTGGAGATCTCCTCGGCGTGGGCCAGCCAGTGGTTCTGGGACCCAGAGTGCAGGTCCTCAACCACAATGACGCAGCCACAGGAGTAGGCGAAGAAGCCTGGCAGAGGAGGGGGAGGAGAGGGGATGTTTTCATGGAAAGGCTGCACATCCAGCCCCCACCAGAGCCCACATGGAAAGTTCTATGATTCATTAAYACGTAAACGCTGACTCTTTGACGCAGCTCGGCAGCAGCAGGTTGGGAGTGGGGTGAAGCCTCACTTCCCCTAACCTGAGTAAAGCAGAGCTGCTGGGCATCATTCCAGCTGCAGAAAGGCAGCGAGGTGGGCTTTGTGAGCTTCCCTCTTGCTCTGTCCAYTCAACAGCTGCAGCCTGAGCCTGCCCCACCAATTAAAGCTGGCCAACAGCAGAGTTACTGGATTTCACCAATACAGAGAACCCCTGCGTTCAAGCATAGATCCTGACTCAATAGCCAGAAGATCCTAACTTGACTCAGTGCACACCCCTGGAATCACAGAAGAGAATCACAKGTGGGTTGGGTTGGAAGGGACCTTAAARCCCATCTYGTTCCAMCCCYTSMWKGGSMRGGRMMMCYTYC